AATTTCCTTCCTGTTGCAATACATATCATATATCTTTTAGTCTACTGAGGTATCCTCTTTGAAGCGAAGCATGGGTAATGTATTCCCAGTTTTTGAATAGGATTGTAATCTGACAAAAACAATTGTGCACGAGCTTCTAAGTGGTATATTTGACAACGAGTACTAAAATAAACCCAAATGCTCGACAGTGAGTGTCAAGGCACTTTCAAATCCTTAATTCAAATCGCTATAGATTAAACTACGGTAACAACGATCTTATCCGAAGATTTTGGGGGCAACGTAATAAGAGCTGTAACTTGATTAAGTTTCGTTTGTGTGCCTTTGTAATGCTCTATCCGTTCTTGTTGGTGATCAGCTGAATCATGTTGTTGTAGTTGATAGTTGAGAGGCCGCTTCGCCAGGCGCTTCGCTAGTTAGGCAGGGAATATATCGACGTAAGATCGATCGTTAGAAGCAAAATCTGCAAGCAGCTAGTAAACGCATTACATTCGGTTTTCATTCAATTTTTCAAGACTAATTAAAAAATGTCTTCGTTGCTTAACCAAGAAAATGAGTTTTATTGGATACTGAGGATGTGCCTTTGCTCTTTTATTTTACAACATTTAATTACTTTAATTTAACTTGAAATTACTACAGTTCACCTTATCTATATTGTGCATTGGCTGAGCTTGTGTTTGGATAATTTTACGAAGCGTTGCTATTTTACAAACCAAATAACTCAAAAAAGTGCAGACAAATAATGAAATGCGGTTGGTTGGATTGTGTAATGTCCAATAGTCGTCGTGCGTTGATTTACCGCAAATTAAAATATAATAAGTTGCACTTTAGTCCATATCTCGTGGTAATTTTAGGTAAATTAAAAAATAATGAACAAAGTTCATTATTACGTACTTTTTCATTTATTTATCTAATTTTCATTTATTATTTCCGAGATGAGATTATATAGGTTTAACATGAGCGTGCATATGTTATGTTTATTTTGAAAAATTTACTCATTCACACAATTCTTGATGGCTCTTCAAATAAGCTCATGTGTAGATACACATGCAGGCACACAGCACCGACACAGTTAGTAAGAGAATAGAAACACAGTTGCACAGAATCAGTTAAATAAACAAAGCAATGAGCGGTGCAAGAATAAATAGCAGCATGAGAATGAAAATATTTATATAAAATATAACAAACATTAAATAAAGCATACTAAGCAGCATGTATGTTATTACAGTGGCTTACTTGAGGGTAAATAAATAAATGTGTTTCTCTTTAATTAAATAACTAGATTCGATAGTTTAGTTAAATTAATCAAGCGAAAAGAAAAACATAAATAAATTCAAGGAAGATAAGTAGATTTAATATATATATATATATAAATATATATATATATGATAATACATCACTTGCGGTACAGGTGTATATTCAGTTATATTTTTTGGCTCATGGACGAATGCTATTGAAAACGGTTCGGATTAGACCACTTTTTCGGCAATTTTCAAGAGGAGGAAGAAGAAGAAAAGTTGTTATTTAAACAAGTATATTAAGCGAAGTGGTGCAGGGTATTTAATGGTGGATCGTGTGTCTCTGCAATGTTTATATATATAAATATGTATTCATTTAAACAT